CAGTTTGCTTGGTTTCGTTGTTATTCATCTTTACTTTGACGCTATTTTATGTGATAATTTGTAGTGTGTGCAGTTGTGGTAATTGTAAGGTGCATATAAAATAATGAATATTGATGCAAAATGTTTAAAATGATATGTGTAAAGAGATTTCCAATTTTGCGCCACATCTACCTAATAAACATAGTTATTTATACCCACTACCTATTATAGACAAGAGGACAAGGGACAAGAACTAAGAAAATGGAACATGGAACTAGGTATACGTTTCGATATAATTTGAAGAGCAACTACTTAGTCAGTGAGAACTATTTGAAATATGGATGAATCAAGTGAAATAGACGTCATTTATTTTATATTTTGTAGAAATGTTTATATATTTGTTTATGTGTATAGGCATGCTTAAATAAAAGAGTTCAGGTATACCTACAGATATTTACTTTATATTATTTTGTATTCTTATTTCTGCTGTATAATTTATTATTATTAAAAGGATATATGTAATATTGACCATGCGTAGAAGAAATTATAACTTTATATTATGTAATGTTATTTGTTTTTCATGTACCTACCATTTTAAGATTCATAATCATAACTAACTTTTTCTAATTATCAGTTCGTCATTGTTACCATATTCATGAAGGTCTCAACATTAGAAAATTTCCATTTCTGAAGCGTATTTGAACTATATAAAATGTGTAGCTTATTTTTAATGCTTCTGATATTGTTTTGTGATATTTTTATTTGTACGATGATTGGCAAAATTCATAATCCATATTAGATTAGCATATTTTTTTTTTAATATACAATGTAACTTTTTTTAGTTCGAATTAAGTCATTCACAATACAAATAAAAATATCACAAAGGAGTATTAGAGATATTTAAAAAAATACTCGCACTATTTATACTATTTCAAAAACGCTTTTGAAATGAAAATGATCTAAAGTTGAGAGCATTATGAGAACAATATGGTAATAAAATTATTATGTTACTCAAACATTTCTGAAAATATACTGAAACGTAAAACAAAAATATCGAGGGCATAAATGGAACATAAAAAGAATGTTACTGAAACCAATTTTTTGAAACGTTTCATTGGAAACGTATTTTGGGGAGGACATCTTGGGCTTCTAGAACGTTACCAGAACGTTGCATGGATTTTTTATGAAATGTTTCAAAAAAAATGGAAACGTTTCTGAAACATGTCAGAAACTGAAAAATGTTTAGTGGGAAATTTGTCTTAAGAATCTATGACCACATTTTGTTGCATGAATTTCCGGACACCCTGTATAGTAATTTACTATATTCTAAAAAAATATGCTTTAAATATATTTTTTAGTTAACGTACTATGGTTTCGTTTATTGCTATACATTAATGAATTAACAAGGTGTGTAACTTGAGGTTACAATTCTGATTTTTAGCAAGTATTAAAAATATGATTTATAGAGTTAAAAGCGTAATGTGACTATAATAGTTATAAAGGGTCTCACAGATTTCGTTCAATTCGCACGAATTGTGTCACACGAATCGACACGAACGTGCCAGGCACGCTTACACGCAGTCTGTGGTGAAAAAAGCGGTACGAATTCACTGTCGTGCAAAATTTGTTTTCGGTTAGATACCGAGATGAGGCAGGATAAAGAGGAATAATCCCCCTCGATCCCAATTCATTGAGGCCAATTTCTAGCCATGGAATAATGGCACGCGCGGTTAGATACCTTCTTGGTTCGCGCGATTTGGTCCGTACGGTTCTGTCGCACGAATAGAGCGAAGTCTGTGGAACCCTTAAGATTTTTTGTTTTGTATTAACCACTACCCATAAAGATCAATGGTTTACACCACAGATTATATATGTTTACTCTCGACAAGCACGTTGCGGTGGTGTCCTGTTACCACCCACCCAGACTACCACTACTTGACAATGACTTAGACAAAATCCTTTCCTGGCCCCAGACAATTGCCATCGGGGACTTCAACGCGAAGTCCCCCATATGGCACAGCGGGACGACGACCACAAGAGGTCGCGTCCTGCTGAATTACCAAGACAGACACGACGACTTGACTATACTCGGACCGACAGAACCGACACATTACGGACCCGTAGGACGCCCCGACGTTATCGACATTGCCCTCTTAAAATCTATACCGTTAAATGCCCAAATATCCACCCAATACGAAGGGTCTTCCGCCCACAATCCAATATTTCTGGATCTGGGGCGAAGACAGAGATATGAAGGCACCTTCACGAGGAGGTTCACTGACTGGGAGCGTTTCCGAACAGTAATGCAAGGAAACATGGCGCTCCCAGTCATCGAAACCACCCATGATCTGGAGGCGGCAATCCTCTCCCTTGAGACTGACATTAAAAACGCCCTGACTCAGACTACGACGGAGACTATTGTCCCCCGACTGACAAACCCCCGGGGCACCCTCCCCGATGACATAAAAAACTTAATACGTGACAGACGACGTGCGAAACGGCTTGCCACCCGCACCCGACTCCCCCGACACAGACATGACTTAAACGTACTTAACAGACGGGTGAAGGCGGCTCTGGATGAACTGGCCCAGGATAACTGGGCTAGGCACCTGGAGTCGCTGGATCCACAAGACAACAGCCTCTGGAAAACGCAGAGGGCCCTGCGACAGACCGCTCGCCGTAAAATTCCTCCAATCCACGGTAGTGTGGGGGTGGTTTACACGAACCAGGAAAAGGCCGAGGCTTTCGCCGATAGCCTGGAACTGCAGTGTAGACTGCCTCAGCTGCCCGACGAAGACGAGGAATTCGAGATAGTGGCTGAGCGCGCGGCCCGACGCGTCGACAGAGAGCCAGACAATGACATAATCCCCCCCGCAACACCTGACGAACTAAGACTGACAATACGCAGACTTAAAAACAGAAAAGCCCCCGGACCCGACAATATACATAACACGACACTTAAACGACTACCACACAAGGGCCTCATGGCCCTACTAAACATAACAAACGCGACACTCAGACTAAGACACTTCCCTACCCGCTGGAAAACAGCAAACATAATCCTTATCCCAAAACCCAACAAAGATCACACCATCCCATCCAACTACCGGCCCATTAGCCTGCTCCCGGCTATGAGCAAAGTGGTAGAAAAAATTATCCTAACCCGTCTAAGAACCCACTCCCAAGAACTGCAAGTCATTCCAGACGAGCAGTTCGCCTTCCGACCCAATCACTCCACTGAACTCCAAATCCTTCGCCTTACCGAGCACATCACGGCGGCCTTCAACAGGGGACAGTACACTGGTGCTGTCTTCCTGGACGTCGCAAAGGCCTTCGATACGGTTTGGCATGAAGGCCTACTGATGAAAATGCTCACCAACCAATATCCCATATCCTTTACCAAACTCATAAAATCCTACCTACACCACCGAAAATTCCGCATCCAAATCCAAGATTCCCTTTCCACCACCCGTCCCATGGAGGCCGGTGTCCCCCAGGGCACCGTCCTGTCCCCACACCTATACACCATTTACAACTCCGACATCCCACATCCCCCCAACACCAACATATACTTATACGCCGACGACCTGACAATCACATCCCAATCCGTAGATCCTAGATATTCCGTCTACCTCCTCCAAAGCTCCTTAGACCAACTTGAAACCTGGTGCAACAGGTGGAAAGTCAAAATTAATCCCAACAAAAGTTCGGCTATCCTTTTTACCAAACGAAAAATCCCACAAAACCTTGACAGACTGACACTATCCCAGGAACCCATCTCCTGGAATCGACAAACACGATACCTGGGCGTGACGATGGACCAGCGTCTCACGTGGAAACCGCACATCGTGGAGACGGTGGCGCGAGCGAAGACCACCAGGGCTAGGCTCTATCCCTTACTCAAAGGTGGAAACACCCTCAGTTTAAGGAATAAGCGAACGCTTATCAAGGTGGTACTTCAACCGCAGCTAACCTACGCCTCCACGGCGTGGGGTCACGCGGCAAAAAGCCACTTAAAGTCATTACAGGCTGTGGAAAACATAGCCCTCCGCACGGCCACCGACGCGCCCTGGTACGTAAGAAACACTGACATATTACGAGACTTACAATACACAAACGCTACACAGACAATAAGACAAAACGCGGAGAAACGATTTGACGTAGCCGCTAGACATGACAATCCCCTCCTCAGGCAAGCCGTTGACTACGTACCCGACGTGACCGACAAACACAAAAGACCTAGACACCAACTTTTTGACCCTGGGTGACCACCCCAATGACCCCCCCCCTGCCCGCTAACCTTTTCTGTTTCAGAGACAGCCAGGATCAAGAAACGAAGACAACGACACACACACACACACACACACACACCCCCCATACCCTCCTTAACCCTCCCCTCCCGCGCTAGCCTAAGGGCCACCTTAGCAAAGCGCATCCCAGGCTGCATAGCCGCACTACCCTACCCAACCATACCACACATAAACATGACACTACCCCCGGGGTTTACACAGACGAGCCGGCGAAGCAAGAAGAGCGCCAGAAGAAAGGGCCCTAGCCGGCGGGGCCCAGCCAGGACAAAAGGAGGTCCCACAAAGCGCCTACACCGGCCGCATTTGCGGTCGGGGTAGACGACGGATGGGGCCCACCTACGAAGGCTGTCCAGGCCTACACGAGATGAGGCAGGATAAAGAGGGATAATCCCCCTCGATCCCAAATCATTGAGGCCAATTTCTAGCCATGGAATAATGGCGCGCGCGCGCGCGTGGCACTCTCGACAAGCGGTGCAATATTACAATGCGGTATGTGATTGTGAAGGCTGTCCAGGCCTACACGATATGAGGCAGGATAAAGAGGGATCATCCCCCTCGATCCCAAATCATTGAGGCCAATTTCTAGCCATGAAATAATGGCGCGTGTAATGCGATAAAGCCAAATTGCCCACACACGTGTGCTAGTACTGCTAGTTAGTGTGCGCATGAGATTGGGATTATTAGGAAGAAGAAGACGAAGTGGCGCCATATTTGGCGCGGTCGGTATCGTTGTTTTGTTGTGTTTTGTGTTTTCGTGTAATATTGTAATATTTATAATTATAATTGAATGAAATAATAATACCACCATGTCTGCGCGATTAAAACATATTGAAGTGGAAAACTTCAAGTCGTATCGAGGACGCAGAATAATAGGTCCCTTAAAACCATTTAATGCTGTTATTGGCCCCAATGGATCAGGTAATTATTTGAATCGCTATTACATATTACATAGTACCTAATTATTTTATTTTCTACTTTAAGGAAAATCTAATTTTATGGATGCTATCAGTTTTGTTATGGGTGAAAAAACACAAAGTTTACGTGTAAAGCGTCTAAGTGATTTAATTCATGGTGCTGCGATTAGTAAACCAGTTTCTAGAAGGTATCCTTCTTATACAAAAGAAATATAACACTGTGAAGAATGAAGGAATAATATTAATGTACTCCTTTCTATTTTAGCGCTTCCGTCACAGCTGTCTTCACGGTGGAAGATGGGAGGGAAGTTGCTTTTCAGAGGTCTGTCCAAGGATCGTCTTCTGAGTACAGAATTAACGGAAATGTATGTATTTTAAAATATGTTTTGTTGTGCACATCAGAACAACATCAGTTAAGTTTAATTATGTTGTTTAAGCAAGCACATAGATAATTCTCCTATATGTAATTGATACACTACTATACGTTGGGTACATTCATTTGACTATTCTCTAGGGCCACATTTCCCTACATGAAATTACCAAAGTTTTAGTCAAAATAAGACAATTTAACTGCTTTTGAAAATTACTGTTTGATTTTTCAAAAAGTTTTAGTTTCTTCTGCAGTAGCAGTATAAATGACATTGGTGACATTGCCCTAATTGTTGCTGCAAGTTTTAAAAAGTGTTTAGGTTTTGAAATTTTATATCGGTAGGTTGCTGATTACGTGACCTTTTAAACAAATTGTGATACTGGTTTTTATCCCAGAATTTATTTTAAGATCTTGTAAATTTCTATAAAAATAAAGGTGAATTCTCATTTTAGCTCTATCTTTTTAACCACAATGAAGTTCAGTCATTTGTAGATATAAATTTATTTTTTACAGGTTGTTTCTACAAATGAATATCTCGGCGAATTGGAAAAATTGAAAATAAATGTAAAGGCGAAAAATTTTTTAGTCTTTCAAGGAGCAGTAGAATCGGTTGCTATGAAGAATCCTAAGGAAATGACTGCTTTATTTGAAGAAATCAGTGGGTAAGTCGATATATTTTTATAATTATTATATACGTCCATGATCTTGGAAATAGGCATGTGACAAATAAAAAATCGACCAAAGTCTCTTTTTGAATTAAACTTGTAGGGTGAGTCGGGAGAATCACACCAAACTCCAGGAATGGATTTTACACATCAAAATAATAAGAAAAAACTCTAATATTATGCAATTTTCATTTGTTTTCAAGCTATGACGTATATTTCAATAAAAAAATTAATTTATCGGTATTCTATTAATAATAGTGTTCAAAAGTGCCACCATTGATTTCTGATTCTGCTATGAAGGGCACATGTAGCTCTCCTGATTGCTGCATGTCTTTCTTTAAAAAGTGCTGCAGTATTGATGATACGTCGAATTACTACCTCACGAGTGTTTACTCTAACTTTGTACACTTCATTTTTGAATCTGACCCATAAACAGTAATCTGGTGCTGTGAGGTCTGGAGATATTGAATGCCAGCTAATGGGACCACCTCGACCAATCCAACGCCTTGGAAACCTCTCGGTCAAATGTAGCTTCACTGGATGAACGAAATGTGCAGGAGCTCCATCGTGCTGGTAGTACATTTGCATTCTCATGTTTATAGGAACATCCTATATTAGTACTTGTAATTATTTTGAAAAAAAATTAAGTACACCACACATTTACCGAAAACCTATGCTGAAAATTACTTTTGAGTGTTGCATGAGGATTTTAGCCTGACCATACATGAGAGTTTTGAGTATTAGTTATACCATCAGGGGTTGCTACATCCGTAAAAATATGCGGGATACAATAAGATCATTATTATTGATCCATTGACAAAACTCGATATGCCTAGCGTAATCTTCTGGTTGTGAAGGGTTTTTATTACTCTTTTTCTTGTGGAATTCCCAAATAGCAATTCTTCTTGAGTTGGTAGATGCATCATCTTCTACTAGACCTAGAATATTTTCTACTTCTAAACCTTGTTGTTGAGCTCGTTCAGATATTATACTAGTACAGGGAAGCTTTCCGGTTTTACACAGTTTGTTGAAAATTCTAATACATTTTTACTGAACATCTGTGATGTAGAAACCATTGAAAATATTCTTCAATAAACCATATTTGCATACTCTAAATTTTAAAAAGGCCTTAACATTTTGTAACACTGATTGTACAAACATGTAATCAAATGTTAAACTATCGCAAAGTGTAACATAAAATGACTGATATATATCCTACTTGTATCATGATTAGAGGACTCGATTGTCGGGATCCCAGGATCTCCACTGCTTTTCAGTCCCGAAATTTTTGGGATTAAATTTTCCTGATCCCAAGATTTTCGGGATTGACATCATTTCAAAAAAGTTGCAAAATAGACTGTGTGAAGCGAAACACGCAGTGCCAGTGCTCTCAACAGAATTGCTTGCCTATCATTTTAATATAAAGCACAAGAAGTTTTAACTAACTTTACTACCTACTTACTAGTGTAACCTGAGGGGTTATTTCCTTACTTAACCATCTGCCGTTATGACCAGTATCATAACGATATTAACTTGCAAAAGAGTGTTTACCATTTACTTCTTGAAAGGAAGTTTATAATTATCATTACACTTTAATTAATACATGGGAACTTAGAATTGTTGTACATTCAGAGAATGAATTCCAGACACTTACCGTATGTCGCTCATGTAGAATGTAATCCAGTGGTTGGTTGTATAGGGTGACACTTAAGTTGAAAGAACAAGAAAACACCACAATTTTCCAGGAAGGGTTTTAATAACAACAAAAATAAAACAAACAAAACAACGGTAACACAACAGACTCGAACAAACATTATTGATTCATTTACACGCGACAGCACACTGAGATTCAGGGAATGCGAGATCCATAGCAAAATTTGGAAAGACTTTAACCATTATTAAATTAACCCGAGATTCTAAAACTAAGTAGACTGCTTAATGTGGAACCCAAGGAGATACTGCCTTTTTCGGAGATCTCTCCTAAATTCGACACCGTGCTTCGACACGCCCATTTCTTGGGTTCTGAAGTTTCTTATCTTACTGGCGGGATCCCTTAATATCGGGATGCTTTGGCATAACTATACTATGTTAATAGTTACCTAATTGATTGAATATACAATTGTCTATATAATTTTGAGACTAAACTTACAAATAACACTACACCTTCCTCTTGTGACTCCGTGTAGCAATACGGGACGGATTAGTCAATCTCATTTAATCTATTCTTATAGCTTGGAAAATCCGTCTAAAAACCAGCTATTTGATCTATTATTATTTTCCTCACCACATCCTAACAACTTATTTAAATATCTTGGAACTCCAATATTAGAAATATCGATTTTTCCCTTGATACCAGATGCTCAACACATGGCCCCGACGGTCTAAGTTAACTTGTTCAAAAACATTGCTAAATTTCATGAGGCCTTCTCCGAAGGACGGCTTTGTGGCGACGCTAAACCTACTTGAAAAACCTTAACTTTTCGATAATTAGTGTTGACTGAAATATTTTACTTTTTTGCCCATCTGTTCCGAGAACTAACAAATAAATTACCACGCGTCACGGCTTTTGTTACACTAGGTTGCTACATGAAAGTCGTCTATTTAGTCGTAAGAGAGATTTTTGTAAATTTTCAAAGTGTATTTACATAAAGATTTTCTCAATTCTTGAAAAGAATTACTGTAAACAAAGACTGAGTGATTTTATGTCTGGTTAGTCTAAGTCTGATTAGTTAGTCATTAGATTAGCTAGGTGTATACTAGAGCTGGCAAAAACCGGAAAAAAGTGAAACCGATTAACTGGGTTCCCTAAAAAACGATTTCAGATAAAACCGGTTAGTCGAATAGTTACTAAAACCGGTTATTCGAATAATGGCCAAAACCGGATATCTGAAAATCGGTGCTTTCTAAAACTGACGAGATATACGATGTTATTCACATATTCACATATTTTAAATTTTAAAGTTAAATCTAATGTCAAAAGTTAAAATGTTAAAACAGTTAAAACAGTTGCACTTGTTACTATGATTCTTCAATTTATTATTTATATAAATGGATTTCGCGGTTTGGTGTATGTGGGCGTGGGTGACTGTTTTTTTTTTATCAGTCTGTGTCTGTCCCCCAGGATAAAATATAAAAATAAATTGTATTTCTCTTAATAGTTTAACCCTTCTAATATGTATGTACTATGTAGCCTGTGTCTATAACTACATAACACTAAGACTATATTATGGTGTTATGTAGTTATTGGCTATAAAGAAAGAATCCGATTATTCGGATGTTTGAATAGATTATCAAATAGTCGGTTATTTGAATAATTGGTTATTTGAATAATCGAATATTTGAAGAATTGAATAACGTTTTCGGGTTTTGTAAAAATTCGAATTATCCGAAACCGGTTAACCGCCTATCCAAAAAACCGATTTCAGTTGCCAGCACTAGTGTATACTGTAAAATACGTTGATTTTTGTCTAAATTTTGATTATGTTGATTTTTGTCTAAATTTTAATAACGTTGACTTTTGTCTAAATTTTGATTACGTTGATTTTTGTCTAAATTTTGATTACTTATTGTAACCCTCAGTACCGAAATAATCCTGGGATTGACTAAATAGGATCCCGAAATTCCGGGATTAGAAATAAGGACTGAGATCGAATTCCCTAATCATGACTCTAATTTAAAATTTGTAAATATGCTATAACTTGAAAACAAATGAAAATCACACAACAACATTTGAGTTTTTCTTATTATTTTGATGTGTAGAATCCGTTCCTGGAGTTTGGTATAATTCTCCCGACTCGCCCTGTATATTCACCTATATTGATACATAATTAGTACTACAATGTCCAGCATATATACTACAAAAAAGTTGCTTGTAATGATTTTTTCTTATTATTGTTTTCCTGTAAAATTACTTTTCCGCACTTTGGCATGATCAACGACAATATGTACTATACAGTATAAATTTTAGATCTGGAGCCCTAAAAGAAGAATACATGCGACTGCAACAAGAAATGCAAAAAGCTCAGGAAGAGATAAATTTTGCTTATCAAAAGAAGAAAGGTATAAATGCTGAGAAAAAGGAAGCTCGGTTAGAGAAAGAAGAAGCCGATAAATATGCTAGACTAAAGGATGATTTGGTAAGACATTTACTTTTATAAGTTGCATTAATTTAAAAGATCAATTTAAGTTAATGTAAAAGCTTCGGTATAAATTTACAGTAATGATACTGATTATAATCGGATTATTTTTTTTAAAAGTGTTTGTCTCAAAAGTTAAGATTTATGCAACATAAAAAAAATTGCTTAAACCTTTATATTCTAAAGTTGTAAGAGTGAAATTTATAAAAAATGTTTACTTCACCACTCCTAGATTTTGAGGTTGGAAATAAATGTGAATCTCATCTCCACACTCGCAATGTTCACAGTTTTGTTCGCGTCTTCGTTAAAAATGGACAAGAAAATAGCAACAGCAGCATTGACTATATTCGCTCATTTAAAACAACAGTGTCACAACTCAAAATTATTGATTTTTCTGTTTTTATGACAAAACTACCAAAAGTGCTATAGAATCTTCAGGAAAAATGACAAACAGAGTGAACTTTGCCTACCAACCGGGAGAAAGTTTTGATGCAGTTGTCATCGATTCACCCAGGAAAAATCGAGCTGGTGTAGAGCTTGTTGATTTAAAAAAGGCATATAGCAACAACATTGGCATCAGAGTAAAAAATAGCCTCCTGTCTCTGTTTCATGAGACAAGTGTCAAGAAAGCATCAGTTCCTAAAACTTACGAGCCATACTATGAGAATCTTTGATACAATCAGTCAATAAATTCGTTTAACATTTTTTTTCCTTTCTATGCTTCTTTATTTAAATGTTTCTTTATTTAAACGGAGTTTTTTGTTAAGTTTTAAATATGTAAACTCAAGTAAAGAATTAAAGAAAGGAATTTTATTGATTTGTCTTAATTGTACTTCGAAACTTGCGCAGAGTTTTTATGAGACAGTAATATGCAGTCAAAATTCACTTCTGTTCAAAAATTATTTTCAAGTAATCTCAAGAATAGCTGGACAAATGGGTGAGATTGGTTATGTTATAATACCAACAGCAAAGTCATCTTATAATCTTATAGTCATAACTATGTCGCTTAAAGTGCGCTGAAGTTTGTAAAATGCGTTTCCTGAAAATATGCATTTTTTTAATTGTGTCACTGTTGTTTTAAATATGCTTTAGCTAATTACAATTCTCCTTGGTAATGTTCCAAAAATTGTAATTCAGTCGTTATTCCAGGTAGTCATACATAAACACTACTATACTAAAACACGGTTCAATGCATTGAAATTTTTAAAATGAGGTTATGTATTGCATGTCTTGAATGTGGAGAGCGTTTATGTTTCGCGGCCGCAAACTCTTTGAAGCAGACAAAAAGACCGACTCGAAACAAGAAACAATCCGCGAACACCCGTGAACTCTGGGAAAAGGCCTGAAAATCATCCATACTCATGTTAAGGCTTAAGGATATTTGTTGTTAATTTCAATGGTATTGTGTACGACGACGAGAGTTATAACTTCCTGGTAGTACACTGATGAAATTTTGTTCAGTCGCTAGGAAGGCTTCTCACTGTGTAGTTCTGTTGACCGCTTATAGATAGTGACACACTTTGCCACATTAAAATCAGTATTAAAACTAAATAACCGGACTGTGAATTTATAATTTTTTCATTTAATTTATATACTTGTTGGATAAATATCTATTTTAAGCCAATCAGGAATGTTTGTAAAATTTTAATTTTTTTATCAACGGCTCTTACTTGTGATTTATTTTTACCTCAATTTTTATAATGCACTTGTTGCAGAATGACAAGTTAGTTGAACACCAACTATTTAGACTATTTCACAACGAGAGGGAAATGAATAATCTTGAGCACGACTTAAGTTCTAAACAAAAAGAAGTTGAAAAAATAGAGAAAAAGAAGGAGAGACTCGAAGATACGCTTAAGGAAAAGAAAAAAGTTCATGGGAAATATAACAGAGATTTGGCTAAAACAGAGCAGGATATTCGCGAAGTTGAAGTAGAGATTTCTAAGAAGAAGCCCCAATTCATTAAAGCCAAAGAAAGGGTTACCCATATGCAAAAGAAATTAGATGGTGCTATAAAAACGTTGGAGCAAGCAAGAAAGGCTCACGAGGCTCATATGAACGACATTAAAAAATTGGAAGATGAACTTGCGGAGGTAGAAGCTGCCAAAGAAGAATACGAAGCTCACATAGCCGGGGAGTCACAGAGCCAAGGGAGAGACGTTCATTTAGAAGATGCACAGGTAAGATTCGTTTGCGATTTAAAATATAATTTTCTATAATATCTTGTATTGCGTTTCTGTTTTCAGGTAAGAGAATACCACCGTTTGAAGGAAGAGGCAGCGAAAAGATCGGCGAGGTACATGCAAGAATTGGACTCGGTAAATAGAGAGCAAAAAGCCGATCAGGATCGTTTGGATAATGTGTCTAGAATGAGAACCGACGCGGAAAACAAACACAGACAGAAGCTGCACGAGAAAGAGGAAATGGAGAAGAGAATCGAAAAGTTGGCTGAACATATAAGGTAAATTATATTTTGTCTTTCGTTTAATGAAATGCGTCGACTCCACGTTTTTAATTTAGATCAAGCGAGCAAGCTCTACAGGATCAGAGGCAGTTGAGGCAAGATTTGCAATCCGATGTCGGTTCCTCAAAGGATAGGGTGCACGAGATACAGAAGCAATTGGACGATGTCGTAGAACAACTCGGTGATGCAAGAACTGATAAACATGAAGATGCAAGACGTAAAAAGAAACAGGAGATTGTCGAGAGATTCAAAAGTAACTATCCTGGAGTGGTAAGTAGATGTGCACATAAATTTAACTATTACCTTCCATGTGGACAGCAGTTCTCGCTTGTCAATGGCTGGATAAAAAAAAGTTGAATCTACCCCCTTTTTTTACTTTTTTTTTTTAGAAGAAAATGGCAGAGAGCGGAGAAGTTTTAAGAAATTTTCTTGCGATTTTAAAGAAATAGGGTTTAATATATCTCACGTTAAAATTATTGTAATTTTCCTGCTATTTGACCCACATATTTGCTTTTCTTAATAGTAAAGTGTGACATCGTATTGTAATTATGACTACCTACATGTATAAGGGGCATTCTTTGTCAAAATGACTGCCCCATTTGTCCAAAAATTGAAGCAACCCAAAAAATCCGTTTCTAGCTCATTTGGTAGCTGTACTTGTGTAGTTGTTATTGAGCTGTGGCCATTTTAAAAAAATCAAGATGGCGGACCGGCAGGCCCGCAAAACTTTGAGAAAGTTGCCATGAAAATGAAGTTATCGTGGTTAAAAGTCACAGAGGTCGTGAAAAAATTACGAACTGAGCTGTTCTTATGTATTTTGTCCTGCTAAATAAGAATCTAATCTTATTTTGGCCCATATCCCAAGCATTTGTGCGTAACCTTAAAAAAAAGATCTATTTTCAACGGCGTGGGTCAGCGATTTGACTGCGGTTTTTTTTTTTTTGTTGGAATAGGTGGTCCTGAAAATTTGAGCTCGATACAACCAAATCTGGCCACAGTGAAATTTTTTGAAATTTAAAAATAGTCGATTTTTTAATCATTTTCAGAATTTTATATCTCTGGCTCTATATAGGGTGTCTCAAAATTAGTGTTCAATAATTTACCACTTGATTCTATTGCCAAAAATAAGAATATTTTTTCATATAAACATTGGTCGAGAAATGCTTCCTAAGGGAGATATGCTTCCTAAGGAAGCTAAATGGGGACTCAAAAAATTAATTTTATTTAAGTATTTCCGAAATGGATTGAAGGAAAATTATGAATTTTGACACCATGATGCTCATTAAAAGTCGAAATAGATCGATAAAATAAAAATAGATAAAATTTTTCAAAAATTTTGATCAGGGGCGTCTCAATTGGGGGGGGGGGGGGCGTCGGCTAATATTTGCCCCAATTTTTTTTCTTGTCGAAATTTTCAAATTCAGAGACCAATATATGATAAACCTTCATTTCCTCTACAAAAAAGGTACTCTTTATTTCTTTCGATCAAATTTTACTGTTTAAATTTGAAAATAGTAAATGTAAAAATTTATAATGATCCGTTTTTCTCAACTGCACTATTTTAGTGAAATTTGCCTATTTTAAAAACATTTTGAGATCTACAGTTTTTAAAGCAGAAGGCTGAACAACGGATTTAAGTTTGAAACAATTTTTTTTTTCCAAAATACGAGGTGGGTAGAGAAGAATGCCATTTGGTTCAAGTCTTTAAGTGATATATAACCAGAGATATAAAATTCTGAAAATGACTAAAAAATTGAAATTTTCTAAATTTCAAAAAATTCCACATTGGCCAGATTTGATCGTCTCGAGTTCAAATTTTCAGACATACTTTCGGAGAAAAAATCGGCAGCTGCATTGGTGACCCACGGTTTTAACGAAAAGTAATGTATCCCTTTTCTGAGGTTATGCACGAACGCTTGGGATATGGACCAAAAATAAAAATAGATTCGTATTTAGCTGATTAAAAATATTAAAATACATAAGAATAAGCTCTATCTGTAATTTTTTTACCACTTCTGGGACTTTTAACCACAATAACTTCATTTTCATGGTGACTTTCTTGAAGGTTTTTTCGTCCGCCATCTTGATTTTTTTAAAATGGCCACAGCTCAATAAAAACTAGACAAGTACAGCCACCAAATGAGCACGAAACAAATTTTTTAGGTTGCTTCAATTTTTGAGCAGATGGGGTGGCCGTTTTGACAAAGAATGCCCTATAAATATAATTTTCATTTTATTTAAAACGTCCTGAAAAACTTTTTCTGAACATTTTTTACTGTTTTCCAAAAGCTGTTTAATATTCTAGTTAATATTTTTAATAAATATTTAGAAACCGATGGGATGCTGTGGGTTTAACAGAGAATTTAATTCTGAAATCCCGAGATGTCCGACAAGACATTAAGTAGTTTTGTCAACAGAAATTTAATACTCTGATCAAAATTTCCATTCTTTTTTTAGTATTTATTGACGATACAAGCATGTTTAATACCGGTTTTTAACTTTCTTTGTTTTTGTAGTATGATCGAATGATTAATATGTGCCAACCAATTCATAAAAGATACAACGTTGCCATTACCAAAAATTTGGGTAAATACATGGAGGCCATTGTAGTCGACACAGAACATACGGGACGTCAGTGTATTAAATATCTGAAAGAGCAAATGTTGGAACCTGAGACATTCTTACCTTTGGACTATTTGCAAACAAAACCCGTAAAAGAAAGATTACGTAGTATTACTGAACCGAAAGGAGTGAAATTGATCTATGATGTACTACAATTTGAACCACAAGCGATCGCTAAAGCCGTTATGTTTGCTACTAATAATGCCTTGGTGTGCGAGACTCCAGAAGATGCTATGAAGGTCGCTTATGAACTGGGCGGAAGGTATGATGCCGTAGCTCTAGACGGCACGTATTATCAAAAATCTGGTATAATATCCGGTGGAAGTTTAGACTTGGCGCGTAAAGCTAAACGTTGGGATGAAAAGCACATGGCACAACTTAAAGCTCAGAAGGTAGAAACTATTAATAGTCCAGACGGTATCTGTTTCAAAAAGTCCATATTTGGGTGAATCGTATATCCACGGAGATTTTTGGCTTTTGTCTTTCAAATATCACTAGAAATGAAAATTTTTCTATGCGCATAACAAAAAAACGTGGGCTTAACTTTTGGTGGCACAATATGTTTAAAAAATTTGAAAAATATCATATTTTTCTTCCTATTTAATTATGTATCTTTTCAAGAGTTGATTTTAGACGAAAATGGGAGAGGAAAAAATGTTTGTAATAAATTTTTTTACAAAATATGGCTAGTTACAAATCGAATGAATCATGATTGTTATTATAAAAATCGAAAAAATCGCCAAAAATGGGGTTAAAAAAACATTACTTTTTAGGGAATTTTTTTGGGGTCTTTAGATTGGGTATAGGACCTTCATACTTAACTCAAGAAACCTTCATGTTATGTAGAATCATCACACCAAATTTCATCAAAATCGGTTTGATAGATTTTGCATAATAATTTTGCAATCCAAATTTTGAAAAAAAATTTGCAAATTTTCAAAATTTTGCACAGCATTATTATTATTAAACATTGGTCGAATTTTTGTACTTACAAACAATTAGAATAACTTTGTGAATATTCAACCAAATCAAATTTTTTAAAGCAGGTTTTAAAAGTTCTTGGAAAGACGCTTCTTTTAAAAGAAAAACAGATCGATTGGTCAATTAATTACGTAGTTATAGCCGATCAAAGTTAAATTAACTCATTATTTTACTAATTTTCGACATATTTTGGAAATAATTGTACAAACAATTTAGAATATTTAAATAAAATTGTTTTTGATCTTTGATAAACAGAATATAAGTTTATGCACTTACCTTTGATACAATAAAAAAATAAAGTTGGTAATTAAAGGAAGTTTAAAGATAAATAATTATCGGACTGTTGAAAGACCATTATTAACGATAGGCATTTGAAAATACGCTAATTGTTTTTTTAAATCGCGCGACATCGATTTAAAAAAAAATCATCAAAATCGGACCTCTAGAAGCTGAGATATTAAAAATTTTTAAGCACGTCGCGGTTTTGAACTCGCCGATTCAATTTCGAGCAGGCCGAAGCGGCCGCGCTCTCTGCTTCCCC